GAATAATACAACAATACAACCATATATATATATATACCACAATATACTACATAAGAAATAATAGATAAATAACACTCCAATAAATCACTAATAATACCACAATATTACAACATGTCGAATAAGCATAACGATGCATATAACAATAAACACCGTATAATACATGATATGCGCCGAAGCGAGGGCCAGGGCGTTGGCATGTAGTGTTTATTGTTGATTGATAGACAGTCGAAAAATCATTCCAATCTATGGTCAAAGGTTGATTGAGAGGAAGTTTCAGACTCTTCGCACATCTAAAATTGACCGAGTTATATAATCTTATGACAATGGTGATGATGTGATATGTATCAAGTAATTCGTAATGGGTTAGCTAAAATGTGGAAACAGAATAAAATGTTATTGCAAGTTATGTTGTTCTGCACTTCTTAAGTCTCATGTGAATGGTGTTCCAACTGGTAAAACCCGACGGAACACCATTCACATTAGACTTGAGAAGTCCAGAACATCAAAACTGACAATTACATTTTCTTCTGTTCCCACAATTTAACAAACCCATTACGACTTACTTGATTCAAATCACATCTTCAGCGTTGACATCAGATTATATAACTCAATCAACTTTAGATGTGCGAAGAGCCTAAAACTTCCTCTCCATCAACTTTTGATCATTGATGCGACTGATTTTTCTACTGTTTATCGATCAAGATTATATGAATCACAAAATAACTCCATCTCATTGCCTCCGATAAATCAGGAAACTTTCCATCGACATATCTCCATCTCAACGAACAGTACTTTGCTTGTTCGCCCATCTTCCTCCTTTCCTGCATTGAATGATTTAAGTTATAGAAAAAACAAATAAGCCAATAGTAAGATAAGTGAGTCTACTAAAACAGCAAAGACAATAACACCATAATCACACGATAATAAACCCATAAATCCGCAGCAATAATACTCTCTTAAACGATACAATAACACAATAATACAACCATAATAATACCACAATAACCCAACAATAACACCAACATCAATCGTTAATAAAAATGACACGAGAATACCGCAATGATAATACCAGTTAACACTATAAATCATTACCCCACAATAACACCAATAGGAAGGACAGTGACACCATAATCACACGATAATAAAACTCTCTTCATTAGTACAATAACACAACAATAAAACCATAACAATACAGCAATAACCCCATAATAACACTAACATCCTTCGTTAAAAAAATAACACCGGAATACTGCAGAGATAATACCGAAAGGACAATAACACCATAATAACACAACGATAAAACCTTAAAGCCGCAGCAAAAAAGTCTCTGCACAGCACAACACAACCCTAAATCATATAAATATCATAATCACCACACAATAACCCTGAACATTCCTTATTAACAAAAATTACACGAGAATACTGCCAATATCTGGATTGTTAGACACAAGCACACAAACAAATTCCAATAAAACTAAATTCCAAATAAAAAATAAAACTTATTAAACCTACGATATACCTAAGATCTGGATTGCAAAAAAACTCGCACAGCTCAACAAACTACATAATGGAGAAGCAGAGAGGATTTGTACAGATCCGGTACAAGAAGCTAAACTCACACAGATCTGGCAGCGGTTGTCGTTCTCGTCGTCGGCAGCTCCAAACCCTAAAGTGCGAAACTAAATCTCGTTATAACCGGGAAAGGGCCTTATGCTTTAAATTTTCGTCAAAAATGAATATCGGGTCGGGGCGGAATACATGAAAAAACTTATTTTTAAGCTGTAAAGCCACGTGGAATCGCATTCCACGTGGCAAATTTTTATTCGGTACCGCATGTAAGGCTTCATGCGGTGCACGTACCGAATAAAAATTCGATGTGAAGGGGCTCCTATGAGTCATGGGGATTTGTTGAACTTTTGAATGAGGCGACATTGTTCAAATTACATTAAATTAAAGAAAATGCATATCGTTAGATCAGACATTCAATGGGCTTTTATAGTAGCAAAGAAGAATTAAGTTATTTTATTTTATTTTATTCTTTTTGTCTTTGGGGTGAGCGTTTTAATAGTTTTTTTTTTTCTCTAACTGTCGTGTAATTTGAAGTGAAGAAATCAAACATTAAAATTCGTTGTATTCTATTCATTAAACAATTTCTCTATTTGTAAAGTAAGGTGATACAATGATGATATTTTATTTTTTGCCCCTGTTTTAAAAGAGTGTGGATATTTTAAACATATGAGCTTATCATTCGACTGCTTTCTAGTTCGGTGGGCTAAGCTTTTTTTTGGCTACGGGTCGACAGAATTTGCTCGATCAATTGTACTGGGTCGGTTTTCCAGGTCGAGTCAATCGTCCCTCTATGTCAGTTGTCAAGGCTACATCGATCGGTTGAACTGAGTTGGTCATCAAGGTCGGGTCGGTCGTCCAGGCTAGGTTGGTCGGTTGAATTGGGTTGGTCATCCAGGTTGGGTTATTCATCCCTCTATGTTGGTCATCCATGCTAGGTCATTCGTCTAGGTTGGGTAGGTTGTCCAGGCTGGGTTGTTCGTCCCTCTAGGTTGGTCGTCCCTCTGAGAGACTTTGTCTGACCTCTTTTTGTTTTATATATTTTAGTTTTTCGATTCTATTATTTCTTCGAAATCTAACTACGAAAAGAATAAAATAATTATAAAAATGAAACTAACATTTCTCGTCTCTTCAAATGCAAGTGAAAACATTATTTAAGAATGAATGGTGATTTTGTGAGATGTTCTAAAGTTAAGCGACTAGATGAGGCTGAAAAAGCTGATGGATTGAGTTTAAGATGCTATTGTTTAACCCAAGTTTTCACCGCCTATGTTTCGATCCCTCGACTAGGTCATCGCCTTGGAGGGGTCACACCATACGCCATATATATTAAGCGGATTTTGCCACAATCTTTGGGACGATAACCATCCACTCACTACTGGGGTGATTCATACGCTATCTACCACAAATCTTATGACTAATTTGTAGGGAGTCTTGCTGCCAAAGCTTGACCCGTTTCAAGCTATGAGACATGAGGTTTTATAATGCAGGAGCGTTATGGTCGTGTGTGTAGGGTCCAAAAAGTGTAAACCATTTCTCTTGAAACTCGCTTGTTAGGGGCAAGTTCCCATAATGCTTGTGGCCAACTTTTTATATGTATATTAAAAAAAAATTAATGAAAAAAAAAGAGGGTTATGAGAGATTTTCGTTGAAGTTTTTTTTTTTTTTGAGAGTTCTTTTTCTAGTTGTATCTAGGCAACAGAGTGGAGGTGGTTAAACAGATGTGACCAAGTGGATGTCGTCGAATGTTGGAGGTCGAGTGTCAGCAAGGTCATCTTGGTCTCTCGACCTCCAGGATGGGTTGGTCACCCATGTTGGGTTGTCCAAGCTGGGCTGATTGCGGCCTGGCCTAACTAAACTGGAGCTAGCCAGAGCGAACTTAATTCTCAGTTATTCTCATTGTGCTGCTCCTCTTCTTGTTAGTGGTGTCATCGTATCTTTTAGAATTTTGAATCGTAGTTTGTCTTCGAATCACACCAAAGGAACATATTGTAAATAAGAAAAGATAGAAAGAGAAAGTGAGATGAACAACAATCTACCATGTATTATTCATAAAATGATTTTTCTGTTTATAGAGAAGAGAGTGTAATGATGACATTACATTTTTTGCCTCTATTTGAAGGGTTTGCACTAGGATAATTCTGTTAGTTTACACGTATGAGCTTATCATTCGGATGCTTTCCAGCTTGGTCGACAAAACTTGTTTAGATTCGGATGCTTTCCAGCTTGGTTGACTAAGCTTGTTTAGATTCGGGTCGGTGGGATCAGCTTAGTCAATTAAAGTTGGTTGGTCATCTAGGTTGGTTCGGTCATTCCTCTCGGTTGGTCATCCAGTCTGGGTTGGTCTGTTGTATTAAGTCGGTCATCCAAGTCGGGTTGGTCGTCCCTCTGTGTCGATCATTCGGGCTGGGTGAGTCAACAGAACTGGCTCGATCATCCATGTCGTGTACGTTGTCTCTCTAGATAAATCGTACATTGTAGGTCGGTCCCCTATATGGGTCGGTGCCCAGGCTGGGCTGTTCGTCCATGTTAGGTTGGTTATGTTGTCCCTCTAAGTCAATCGTACATCCTAGGTCGGTCCCCTCTATGGGTCGGTCGCTCAGGCTGGGTTGGTCATTCAGGCTGGGTTAGTCCCTTTGGATTAATCGTTCAGGTTGGGTCATCCCTCCAGAGATTTAGACTAATATATTTTTACTGTACATCTTCAGTTTACATGGGAAGTTTTGGCCTAATCATATTTTAAAATTAACAACGAAGTTTAATTTAAGATGAATAACAAACCACTTTCTAATAATATTCATGGTACTATACGTTTTATATTTTTATGTATTTTAGCATTTTGGTATTATTTTCAAGAAAAAAATAAATAATAAAGATTTTTCCAAATTATGTATATTATGAGGCATATAAAGCGAAATTTTCCTTCTCGAATAGTTTTAGATTGTTCTTTAAATTTCAATTAGGGGCACGTACATATGTATCATATACTTCTAATTTATTTACATTTCTCACACCCAAATTTTCATATTTATCTTTAATATCACATACAAAATAGTCTTAATATTATTTTAAAAAGTGAAATAAATATTTTCATGTATAAATTTTAAAAATTGAAGGGATATGTAGATAAATAAAAATTCATGAGATATATAAATACATGAGAATCAGCAAAACGTCATAAATAAAAATGGCATTTGCATACATTCCACACGATTTATATATAGATTTACATGCCTAATATTTAAATTATAATTTTCACATTCATAATATTCAAATCTTTCATATATACAACAATATTATTATTATTAGTTCTAAAAATAAAATACACAATTTTAAATAAAAAAAAGTAATATAAATATAAAAATAAAGTTATACGTTAGATTTATTAAATATCGATTTTGTGTGGTCTTAAGCTATTCCATGGCTTCCAAACTCCGAATAAGACTGGAGTAAAGAACAGCAGCCGGCCGAGTCCAACAAATACTCTCGCCGCTTCTACGAAGCAAACGCAATTCTTCGATTTCGATTCTGGGCCTCCGCCTCCCGCGGCGATTTCTCATCTCCCTCTCTTCCGGCTTCTCGTGCTCGAAGCTGTACGTAGATTGCAGAAAAATTTCCTGTTCTCAATCAGTTGGCGAATTGCTGGGACTGCATTTTCTTTCTCTTCTTCGGTATTGCGTTGAGGCAATGAACGAGATTGATGAAGAAGGAGTGAAGGTACTTCCTTTTCGATCCCAACACATTATTTGTTTCCACAATTCTGTTTCGTTGGGTATGCTCAAGTCCCAAAGTTATTGCACTTTGTTAGGGTTTATTTCTTCTCTGGCTTCTCATCATGTCGATTCTGTTAGATAATTATGTTGGTTCTCTATGTTGTTTGCTTAATGACTGTTAACTTTATTTTTGTAGCTATAGGTGCCCTATTTCTATTATAAGGAACTGATGTCATGGCCTTGTATTGCCCGAGTTTGATCCGTTTATATTACATGGATTTCTATTTTCATTATTTTGTAGCAAATTTTAAATCTTTTTCTTTTTTTCTGGATGTAATTCCTTTTGCCGTTTTCAAACCTTTTCGGTTACAGTTCTTTCTGATGCACTTTGTTGCACATGTGACCCTTATTCATTTTGATTTTACGAAGAAAACCTAATTTGTATAGGGCCTCCCTGAAGTCAAGGAGGCACTTCGCATAGGTCCATGCTTTCACTCGTTTTTTTTTTTCAATTTTTTAGATAGGTACCTAGTGCAATTTCATTATTTGATTATGGCTCCTGATAATGTTGATCATAACTTAGGTCCCCATTGCCCAACATTGCTAATTTTATGCTTAGTGATCACGCTGCTCGCTGTCATCTTATTTTTGATCTATGGAAAGCTCTTATTGTTTAAAATCCGCACCCCCCTTGCGAGAAGGCGGGGAACATGGGGCTCAATCTGAGCTAGGGGTGTAAACGAGTCCATCCGAGCTCCAGTCATACCTAACTTAAGCTCAACTCATATGTGAAAATATGTGCTTGATCTAGGCTCGCAACTGACAACAAACTCACGAGCTAGCTCGCAAGCTCAAGCTGAAAATTAAATTATTATGGGAGCTCGCTGGAGAAGCGTCGATGGTTGGAGAAGAAGGAGAAGTGTCACAAGAACTTGTCGGAAAAGGCATTGAAATGATCATCAATGGGCTAGTGGAATTAGCTTGTGAGATTAGACAAGCTTGGACTCAAGCTTGAGCTCGTGGCTCAGTAAGCTCGACTCTCGAGCTTGTTAACAAGGCGAGCTCAATCTGAATTGCGAGCTGACTCGGTTCACATCAACCCCTAAGAGCCATCATAGCAGTAGTGGGCGACATCATTGTAAAAGCTTAATTGAATGAGTTGGTGCTATTAGGTGTATTAATTTTTTTTTTATGTACACTCTCTCTAATATATTAAACCATGCAAACGATAGGACTACACAAGAGAATAAACGAAGAGGATTTAACTAATACTAGAAATTACCCATTGAAATGTTCCTCAAAATGTTACATTCAACTAATACTAGAAATTACATATTTAAGAGTTCCTCAAAAGGGTACCATCTGCATCTCCTTGGAAAGCTTGCAAAAATCTTGGCTAAACTGTGCTTTCGTTGTATTAAGAGAACACTTTAATGTATAAAAAGGATTTTTTTTTCTCTTATTTTTCTATTCTCTCTTCTTTATTTTCTCTAAAGCTCTTTATTTTAGGATTTCCAAGGGAATAATAGCATCTTTTTTTCAAAAGAAATTGTCGCTAGTCTCTTTCCTGCCTTTATATGCGTACTTCCTAAGATAGTAGAGATAGTGATCTTAAAATATTTGGCTAATGCCTGAAATTTACCCATTGAAATATTCCTCTTAAGGCCTTATTTAGCCAGTACTAGAAATTACTTTTTTTAGAAGTTAGTACGAAGGGTAAAGTTTGTATGTCTATGGGACGGTTGCAAAATTTTTTGTACAACCATGTTTCATTGCATTAAGATAACACTCCAAGTTTTAAAAATGGAATTTTTTTTTCTTATTTTAATATTTTATCTCTTCTTTATTTTCTTGAAAGCTCTCTATTTTGGACTTTCCAATGGCACAATAGTTGCTGTCAAAATTTCATAAGAAATTGCCACTTACCCCTCTCATACCCTCTTATGCATATTGCCTGAAAGAAAGTACGTGACATGCAATGTCTTCAGTTGAACTCTTAATATATAGGAGTTTAAGTTGGTGGTCTTTTAGATCTAAATCACTAAATCACGTTTGCTTTTTACTCGGATCTGTCCAAAATATGAAATGTTATAATAGATATTTAATTTTTTATTCCAAGATAAATATATTTTGAACTATTTAAAATAATTTTTGAAAACTCTGCCCGTATCTTCACAAATTATTTAGTCACAAATTCAAACACTAATTTGTGTTCCAGAGATATTGCAACTATTCTCCAATCCGTTTAGAGATTATTCTTATTTTAGGATGTTGGCTGTTCTTATGGATATATTATATACAACATCATGTAAATAGGATTTTAGTTGCTCAAAAGTTTTTTTTTACCCATGTCATTTTGTGGCTTTAACTCTGGCGTTCTATTTTTAAAATCTTAGAGGTTGAAGTATGTTCTTCATAAAGATCCCTTTGCTGCTAGAAGTGGAGTATAAATGTTGTGTTTTTCATTCATCTGTGAAATTCTAAGCCTTGTAACTCAGAGTGTACAATTTGCAGAGCATTTTTTTTTATTATGGTCGTTTTCTTTTTCTTAATTGAAGCTAGGTGTACCTGCATAAATCTGCTGGCCTTTGTGAAACTAGAAGTTTTTGTGCTGTAAACAATCACAATCTGTTCTTCAGGAGCACAATTATAATTACATGCCAATTTAATTGCATTATAGTTGCTTGATTGATCACATGTTTGTAACTTTGTATTTCTACCACTTACATAATTTTTAATCCTTCAGCTGCAATGTAAAGTAATTGCAATCAAAGGGCACCAAATAATCTGACTGCAATGCATACTAAAATTGTATCTATTTTTCTGGAACAATGTTGGTGCATGTTTCTGGTATTCTATTGGAATTGAAAAATTTTACTTGATACAGATGAACATATTTGGTTAGGATAGATGGTTATTGTATGGACTAATGACTCGAGAATGTTGATTTCCTCCACTTGGCCCTTATTTTATCCGATTGTAAGTTAAGGATATTATCATTTGAATTGACTTTACCTTGAGAGTCTAGTAATACTCTCTCTTTCATTAATATTTCAGCAGGGGTGTTAGGTAAGATAGAACTTTATTCATGTCATGCCATATGCTTGGAAAATGGATGATTATTCTTAAATTTCAGTGATCTGACTTGAAACATTAAGCGTACGGCTGAAATAACTCCACAAGCTTTCAAGTTTTTTGTGATCTTAGAATTAGTAAATTGCTTATATTCATATTTATCATTTCCCACATGCACCCTTCCTAAAGATTGATGTGGGACGCTAATTTCCTGCAAGATCGCGGTTCCGACGTCTTCGGATCTCACGATCACAGGAGTCATGCCGTATCGAGCCTTTTTTAATTATTTTTTTCTTTATTGTCAGCGAATTTCCTTATGTTGCTTTTTCCTTTTCGGGTTCTTACATGTTTCTCTAGTTTCTAATTAGGTTTTTTCATATTAGGGGACCTTTATATAGGTTGTTTTTTACATTAGCTGGATTTTATATGTTTTGAGAGTTTATTCTCTGATTTTTTGCTTTCTGGAGTATTTTATCCTCTTTTTGTTGCAAGTGGTGTATATGTATCTTGCCTACCTGCTATTTTCAACAGAACAAGTGTCAGACTTGCTGTTATATGTTGTTTACAGTAGGAAACCTACTATTTTCCTCTGTCTGCGTACCGTCTGTCCGCCATTCATGCCCAATTTCAGCCAACATCCTTCCTCTCGCCTTCATTACCCATCATACAACTTATCTACCCTTTTGTTTTTTTACACCTTTTAGGGGCCCTACAACTATATCATCTGATATTATTGCTCAACAAACCATAAAATATTAGGAATTTGATCTACCTGCACCTAAACCAATATTCCATTTAAGCTAACCTAACACCCCCGCTAAATGCCTAATCGTAAATTATATATTTGTTCATCAAAACTTTCATTGGAAAAACAAGATGCCATGCCGCTAAGGAGAAACCCTCAATGGGGCGTTCAAAAGTTTACTATGAAAGACATGCAAAGATAAATCCTCCAACTGTAATAAATGATTGTCATTTTTTATAAGAGACGGTCTGGTGAGATCACCCATAACTACAATGATAACTCGTCAGATAGAGTGGAGGAAGTTAATATTTTCCATAAGGGAATATCTTGTAATTAAGAGTCAATATCTCAGCGATTTGACATATAATATAAGAGGAAAACCTAAGATCTTTGAATAAATGTGAATTTATCATATTTTGACGGTCGCATAGATCCGAACAAGTTTTTCAAGTGGCTTCAAACAATGAAGCAAATTTTTTAGTACAAAAACTTTTCTCGGGATAAGACAGTTAAATTGGTAGCTATCAAGCTCAAGAAAAATATTTCTTTATTGTGGGAGAATTTGAAGCATATTCAATAGCAGGAAGAGAAGAGTAAGATCACCACATGGTTTTAGATGAAAATGGAGATGTAAGACAAATATCTTCTCCCTTATTATCAACAAGTTATGTTTATAAAATTCCACGACTTGTGCCAGAGAGAATTTTTTGTTAATTATGCAATTGAGTTTGATCCACTCATATTGAAATGTGAGTTGGTGGAACCAGAGGTGCACACTATAGTGAGGTTTCTTGGAGGATTGTCTATTAGTGATGTGGTGCAGTTGTAGCCGTATTGGTCCTTACTTGATGTATAAACTTAGCTTTCAAGGTGGTGAAACAACATCACTAGGTGAGCGTCACATCTTACAAGCAGAGTTCAACTATAGGATCAGACAACAAGAGTACGCCTAGTGGAGCACTCTAGTGGACCCCGTTAGAGGAAAAATTAGTTTAGAGCAGAGATAAGTCAGGAAGTGCTTCAAGTTCCACTGCTTTTGGCACATTGCATTAGATTGCCCAAACAGGAGGATGATTTCTTTCACTGAGCTGGGAACTGGCGAGGAAATAAACAGTGGCACATAATAGGATGAATACGCTTGAGAGAAGTATCAGCTTCCATCCGACTAGGGAGAGATGCTAGTG